GTCAGTCAGTAATCTAGATTGCACTTCACGTGGTCTTTATTTGATTAGTGTGTATTGCTTACTTTGCTTTTGTTTTGTTTTTCTTGACATTTACTGAAAGCTCTAAAGCCAAATAAATGGCAGGTCCAGTAAAATTTCAGTCTCGCTTCTCTGCTACAAAAGCTGGTTCAAGACTTCATAAGCCCCTCAATTTTTTTTTTTAATAAGCATTGTTACCTAATCTGTCCTTTACAAAAACTTTAATGCCTTGAGCAAATCCTTCCTTCCTTATTCCCACCACTTTGACTTCATGGTAAGCAGATAAACATAAGACCCCCCCCTCCCCCCCCAAAAAAAAAAAAAAAGGCTGTTCAGATTCTCCCCCTGGTCTTTAGTAATTGTGTAACTTGTCTATTCTCCCTTTCTCATTATTGAATAAAACCTCCTAAATAAACACTACTTTTTGTGCTCTCGTGACACGTAGGCTTTTTCCCATTAGTTGCTTGCTCCTTCCCACCTGTTATCTGACTCATTAGCTCAGCCTCAGCTTTGCTTCACCTGTTCCTTCCCAAAAGAATTATATTGAAAAGTTCATCGCATGATTCTTATTCTCGGTGTACTTTCTCTTCACAGCTTTACTGTGCCCATAGATAATGTATTTTAACTTTCCCCTGGCTCTAATTTCAGTGTTTCCTTGCAGGTTTCAGTCTTTTAGAGCTCTATGGCAGAGATGGCAAATGGGATCTGCAAGCTAGCTGTGGCCCAGGCCGTATATTAATTCAACCTTTATGTCAGTTTACCTTTACTTCTCCTCTGGACTGCTGCCAGCCATAACCACCTAACACAGTGCTACAACACTGTAGCTTTTGCACATGGGACTAGGTGCAAAACAACATTAACTTGCATTTGAGTTGTTCTTGCACGTAACACTTTTGTGAGTTTGCTGTCTACCATTAATTTACATGCAAGTGAGCAGGCAGAAGGAAATCCAGTAAGCCTGAATGTAGAAAAAATGATATTCCAACTTTGCATATTTTGTACAACTGGCCTGAAACATCATATTACCCTGACTACAGATGTGTTTGGCTATCACTGCTGTAATCAGCGCACTTGGGTTCACCCTGTAAAGTAATAAGAAGCCTAAAACTATCCACAGTGAGGAGCTCTCTTATCTGGATGTATTTTGAAAAACCATTTGAAGTGTTGTTTTTACAGAAGGTTTAGTGTCAAATAACCCCTCTATCATCATCACGATAGCCTGCCTTTGTTGTAAGTCTGCAGTGAAAGAACAGCAGACACTGCAGGTAACGAGAAAGAACCAAGAAGCTAAAATTATGTAAAAACTGAAGTACTAGTTCTTAATACTGGCAGTAAGTAGTTAAAAGAGTTATATTGTCTTCCATATTACTTATATTGTAATGGCCTTTAAACAATACTTCAATGGTGATTAAGTTGTCATCTTTTATTTAAATGTTTGTGTCCCTATTAGCTGTACTTTATATTTGTTTTTATTATAATATTCATTGCTCTGAAACTTTTTTATAAAAACTCAATCAACAGAATAGGAAATCAGCCTAAATATATTTGAAATGTTCACATTCAGCACTTATGTTTTTTACTCCTTTTACTGAGGAACCTTATGGATTGAGTGACTGTCAGATATAAATCAAAAGGTAGACCTCAGTTTGACTGAAATTAATAGCAAAGACTCCACTAACTTCACTTGATCTCAGAGGAGGTAAAAGGCATTTGAAAAAGAAGGTGAAAAGAGTATCAGGATTATGATTCTGGCCACAGAATGGATTATGAGTTTGTTTTTTTTGTTTGTTTTTGTCGTTTTTGGTAAGTATCTTCATATCAACTGAAGAGTGATAAATATATCAACCTAAGATTTTTTTCATCTTCAAAATGAAGTTCCCCTTCAAGGAGGGACCTTGGTCATGAGTTAAGAAATTACTTGACTGTTCATTGTTTTTGCTATCTTAAATCTAGAAACGGTGGTTAGCCATACTGCAAGCTACAGCTCCCCAGAGTCAGTTGTCTTGCTTGCCTGTAGGGGACAAATGTTTAAATTAAAAAACAAAACAAACAAAAAGTAGTGTTATAAATTGACGTTATTGTTGACAGCCTCTAGTAAGATAGGATAAACAAAGACTAGCTAATTACTGAATTTACAGATTGGGCTGGATTCTTTCCATAATGTAAGTCTGGAAATAATTCACCAGAGTCACCATTGTAAGTGGAAATAACTACAGCAGTAAGTAGGCAGGTCAGCAGGGGGAGATGGGCAGTTAGTGCTGTATCTGTTCTGCACATGGGGGATTTCAGAGTATTTTCAGTCTGATACCTTTTCAAATGCTTAAAAAATGAAAATGGTTTGTAGATATGATTTGCGGTACAGTAAGCTTAAGCAATACTAATAGAACATGACAGGCACTTTAGCTGAGGAGAGCCGCATACCGTGAGCGTTACGTGGCATGAGTCCAACCTGCCAGTGACTTCAACTGTCCAAAAACACAATGATCTACAAAGAGTGAAGTATTTGCACTGTTTCAGTAATAACATTTAAAAAAGGGAAAGGATGGCATCCAGAGATTAAACAATACTGGAAGTAAGTTGACAAAAGTAAGAAAGAATTCCAGCTCTGAAAGAAAAGAAAATAATCACTTGGTAATTTCCGCAGTGGTGCGGAGAAGGTTTCTCCTATCTACTGTCCTGTTAAAGAATGTGCAGTGGTTAGACATTCTGGGCAACTGTATGTAGCATGGAGTTTGTCTTGGATTTCTTTTCAGATCATACTTGTGTTTTAAAACTTTTTTGGATTAACAAATCTTAACCTTTCTCTCTCTCTCCCCTCCCCCCGCCCCCTTTGGGTACTAATTTTCTAGAGTTGAATCAAAATACTGACGAGGAGTGTTTAATGACAGTCCTCAGCGCTGTCGATGTACACCATTCTAGCTGTCTTGTTATTTCTGAACTGTCAGTCACTGTCAGTAATTTTACTTGATTTTTAACACTTTTAGAATATTATTTCAATTTCACTGTAATGGTAAATACCAAAAACCCAACATAAATTGTGTTTTTATTGCAGAGCTCTGAGTTAGTGACTTACACTGTTAATGTCACTTTTATATGCCAAATAATACCATTTATATGTATTCAGGACACTCATGCATGAGTGGTTTTGTAAAGAGTGGTCCTGATTTCAGTCTTATTTTTGTTTATCTTGGTCTGCTGTGAGTGTTATAGCTGTTCCTGATTTATACCTGTAAATTAGAGGAGAATTATGCTACTTGAGTTAGACATACAAATAACGTCCACACTAACCTTATATGCGATAATGGTGTCAAAACTGCAAATAAAGGAGTAATCATCTCTGTATATCATGCAGTTCAATTTGTAGTGAAATCTTTGGAAGGCCAGCTTGTTTCATTGCTTGAATAGCAACTATTTCAAAAGCTGGAAACTGGCTTGTATTATCAGCACCATTATCAACTTAGCACATTCTAATCGGCTTTAAAAACTCTAAAAATATGTCCACTGTCTGTGTTTCTCTTCAACTATGTTCTTATACATGCAGCAGACGATAGTTGTTTTCACTATGTAATAGTAAACATACTTTCATACCTTAAGAAAAGGAAAAAAAGGTGCAACTTAATTACTAATTAACTTACATCACTATTATGACTTCATGGAGCGAGACAAATCTGGATAGAATTTTTTTTAAGAGGAATAGAAATCTACGTGTTAAGAAAAAGTGATAGAATAAAAATAAAAAATGAAAGCTTCTATCCCGAAAGGTCCTCCATATGTCATACTTGCTGTATTTCCCAGCATATGCTAGTGTTTTAAGTAAATCTTTCCAAAGTACCTTACAACAGGTTTTGCTTCATCTGCCATTCAGTTTTTGCTATGAAAGTGGTCATCTTTCTGTGAGGAGAGGCAAATTCCTTTAGGCAAAAATTCATCATGAGAAGCAAATTCCTCGAGTCAAATAGGCCAAATCGCTTGTTGGCAAAATTGCCAAGGAAAATATGTACTTTTTTTTTTTTTGAAAGAAAACATTTGGTTGCAGCTACAGCATAGACACCTTGAATATCATTTTCTGTGTATGAAAACAAGGAAATCTGGAAACTGGTGCTATTTTAGGCTAATTGCGCTTTGTTGGGTTTCGGGGGAGCTCTGCAGAGTAGCAACTGTGGGAAAACCACTGAACAGTTCTCTGTTTGAGCCATCTGCCATGAATATGGGACATATGTTCGCGCTGTTTGTTCAGGAGCCAAGGGAAAAGCGATACGCTGAGCCGCAGTTCTGGCCGAAGGGTGGCCCGCGCCCGGAGCGCGCCG